AACTGGCGTATGGGGACCCAGAGCAGTCCCGATCTACCCTACAACTTTCTATAGCCGGTATCCTAGCGGTCCTCCCATCCATTAAACAAACCGCGTCATTCCATTACGAAACGTGCTTTTACCCGTGACGAATTAATTTAACAGGACTCACCGCAACCGCAAAGTCGCCGGCCTCTTGTCTTAAGGTTCCTGTCGGCAGAATTAGAATGGGCTAGTAAAAATGAACGTGTCAGCAGAAAATTGGAAGAGTTGAGTTACGATTCACTTGATGATAGGCTAAAATATTCAAACGATCTCCATTGATTGAAGGATGGAGGATAAAGGTTGCATCGACATTGAACTTTCTTGACCTTTAGTATTTAACATATGATAAACTGTTCTTATTTTCTTGACTAATATATCGAGGGTTGCAGGTTCAGTTTATAGTTTAATGAACACCAGAAAAACAAAATATTAAAAAAATCTTCAAGGCATTTAGTACTTTTAAATAATTTGAGTACCAAAGGCGGACACCTCCGTTTTTAGATAGTTGAGAAAAAAATAAAACAATTTTTGTTACATATTTTCATTTTAATTTACTAAACATTATCGTATTAACGTATAGAGATAGCATACGTCAATGTGTCAGGTCAGAAAATTCAGCGGTCACAAAGAACAATTTAGTAATTCCAAAAATGCTTCCTATGCAATTTTAATAAATTTTTAAGCCTTCAACGCACTTGACTCATAATTCTAAATCTTTCTCTGGCATAGAGGAGATCTGTGGGTTGGCTACTTCTTCACTTATTTAATTGGTTTACATTCTTGACCTTTCTTCACTATATTGTATTTCTCCTTCCATTTCTTCGACATATCAAATTAAAAATAAGAAAAGTGTATGTAGTTTAATTTTATTATTAATTGTAAGTTCCGGGCAAGCATAGATACAATTTTTTTTTTTAACTTCCATATCAATCTGCACCTGACGACGATTGTTAACAATCAGTAGATGGTCCGATGAAAGTAACGAAAACTAACATGTCAGACATGGGCAGGGGTGCCCATCCTCCCCTCCCCCCAAGATCGTTGGCGCAAGAACCTACCCCCTTTCCCTCCTCTCAAGATATTTTATTGCGAACTTTTCCTAAAAACAGAGAAAGCTAAGATATAATTAGAAAAACCGTAGATCATATACAGTTTATGTTCTATGTTTTTCCCCTTACCCCTTACTCCGAAAATTCATAACTCCGTAGAAATTTGCGCTCCTCAAAAATTCAAAATCTCGTAAAAATATTCCCCCCTTAAACATTTTGGTAGCGCATCGTGCGCCATGAAACCCCCTTCTGGGCATCCCTGGGCATGGGGAAGGATAGCACCCAGCAGTACATCTTCTCTGGATTGAATCAATTACAATAATTTGTTAATGAAGGAGGTCTCTCATCCAGCGCCTTTTTAGTCTCCTCCTCGCATTGATGGGCATGTCAGCTGAAGCTATATCTCTGATTAGAATGTTAGTATGTCTGTGTAAATTATTGTGAAATCTTTTATAAGGAGTTCTTATGTATTGGTCAACAGTTGGCAGGAGGAAGTTGGTATGTAAGGTTCTGTTTCTCACGTACCAAGGTTCTTTAGGTAAGTCGTATTATTGTTAATTGAAAAGTTTGAAGTTTGTGTAAGTGGGTCTTTTTAGCTATACCGTATATTTGTGAGGAGTAAGTACATATTGGTCTAAGTAGGTATATGTCTGTATTTAGTTTCTGTCACAGTTATAGTTTTGAAAATTTGGAAAAAATTGAGTAAAGGAGTTTGAGTCGTCTATTGAGAGTCTTCCATTTCATTTTGACTTGTCCCATGACTTCCTTCAAAGATAAGACCAAGGTGTTGTACGGTGTCCGTCTGAGGAATTTGGCTGTTTTCGATATAAATTGGAGGCAGATCAGAACCAATTAATAGAATTTTTTTTTTTTTTAAATGAATGTTTCAATTTCAGAAATATGAAAGCACCTTTGATACGAAGCCAATTAGAGGTGAAAATGGATAATTCTGTTGAATGGATTAAGGACAATATTTCGAATAAGCATGATTTATTGCTCTTAAATAGTTTTTAAAAAAATACTTTGATTTAATGTTTAAATTAGCCAAAAAATCTAAAAGATAACGTGGATAATAATTTAATGTTCCATTCACAAGCTAACTCAAAATACATGAAGTTTATAAAATACCCACAAAAACAAAAACTAAATAAGAAAGATTGCTTCACCTCATTTCCTTTCATGATAAAAAAATTTAGCTTGATTTTACAATTAATTAAATGCAGTTTAAATACAATTTATGACAAACTAAATATGAAAGAGAATTTATCATTTATTAGAGCGATATATTTTACAATTTTAATGATAAGTAACAATTACCTCTTTCAGCGATTCTATTAATTTAATTGAAGGCTAAGTTCTACGGACATCTGAATCCTTTATTGCTGACAGTCAACGGTCGGGACTTGTTCATCCAGAAAAGGGAACCTGGGTCGTAATTTGATTCTTGATCAGTCGTTTTATTGTTTATTAGGACATTAAATTTCCCATTAATGTCGGGGAATTACATTAATGGCTTTGTAATTATAATGGATGACATAAAGGATAAGTGTTTGTCTGTGGCCGGAATGGCTCCATTATGGCCGGGCTCATCTGATGGAGGTGCGTTTAGTTTGTTCGAAGGGCATGCAGGACAAAAAACAAACGAAGGCAACAAAAAAAAAAAAATAACATGGGAGTGATGGGTATTTTATTGAGATAAGATACGGGCCCGGTCGCAATTCATTATAACATATTACTTAATAGGACTAATTGATCGATGTGAGATAACCAATGATGAACAATTAGTGGTTTGTAACTGTAATATATTTCTATTTTTATTATATTAGATTATCCCATAATTTATTGAATGTTGATTGTGTTGTATTAATCAGAAAGGGAGAGTAATTCACGGGTAGCCTAACATATTACAGCCACAGTGAAGGTATAAAAATTTATTATTTTGTTCAGTAAGTATGAAAGTATTGTAAGCAGAACGAAAAGAAATTGAAAATTACACATATCTTTTTAAATTAAAAGATGTATGTGTACCCGCAAAGCTACGAGAAGGCAATATTGTTTTAAAATCTGTACGTTTGTACAAGGATCGATTCCAACAATATAAAGATTACCTTCATATGTTAAATGGTCAATTGATGCATTTCTAACATTAATTATGGAAAATTTTCTTTTATATATCTTAATTTTATTTTATCATTGAAATAAAAATTGTTCATTGATGTAAGCTTGGTAAAATGAACATTCAGAGATCCGATTTATATTTATCTTTATGAGTAAGTAAGTGCTGGATTTAATCCAACAACTTCCTCGCGAAAATGAATGCTAATAACCTGGTTTACATTCTGGTTTCTAAAACAAAAATATGTCAATTGAACGGTTTATTCCAACAGCGAATACAACACACGGTTCTTCGTTTATATTATACTTAGGAAAGAAAAACCCTTTAAATCTTCTAAAAATAACATCATTTAAAATATTTGACCTCTGAAATGATGAGCCAAGTAGAATATTTTGATCAACGACGCAAAGCGAATTAGTTGGACCTGCATCCGAATCATACTTTTTGAAATTGGTGGAGACAATTGTTGGAATCCGGGCTGCCATCATCCATACTTATTTTGCGACGTCTCAGACAATACATTTCGACCATTAAAATAATAGAAATTCTTACTTTTGAAAACAAGTAACCGTATATTCGTTTACTGAATAAAAAAGATTCACATATTTCCAAACAATAATGCCATTTACAATCATGATAATGTACACTACATGTAATAGATTAGCATAAATATCTTTTCTGGCTTTTAGGAACGACATACTAAGAGCAACGAGATTTCAAAAGAAAGGAAATTTCACTTGGAAGTGACGAATTTTAATATCGATCATTAAATTCGTACTAAAACTTAAATGAATGTCATTGAAAAAAGTAGAAAGTTTCAAACTTCACGGAGAGCTCTGTTAGACAATTAAAGTATCCTTCTAATAATAACTACAATAGCAATAGCAATAGCTTGAATTACAATATGCAAGGAGATGTATGGCTTTTTATTATTTGAAAAAAATATTTAAAATTTTCTATATGTGATGCTACGTGTGCGCGTGTGTGTGTTTTTTTTAATAAGCTATACCTTTGTTAATTCTTCAATGTTTTTAAGGTTATATTCTCCTCCACGGCGAAAAATAAACACATCACCCAGAAACAATAGGAAAAATGTTATAAATAAAATATACTTTATTTGCATAAAAATGAAAAAAATCTTCAATTTATGTTGGATTATACGCAGGATGATCAGAAAGCTTTTCAAGTTCCCTACAAAAGATAGTAAAAAAACCGACCATTTTTAACAAACATAAAACCAATCGTTTTATATATAATATATATATATATATATACATGTTTTGTATTATTATTTTGAATGCAAATTTATCCTTCACATAATATATAGCATTTATCTATTCCTATAGTCTCATTTCTTTACTAATCAATATAGTATGTGAATTATTTGCACAGACCAGCTTGTAGAATATAATTCTAGACCATACAGGAATAAGAAAAAAATTATCTTTAGTCAACTCTACTAAAATTATGTCTTATATGTAGTTTTACAACTAGAATAGTGAGTTTAGAAGACGTACAAGGAGGGACGCCAGATCTCTTTTTCAACATGGTAAACATTAAAAATAAACTGAAGAAGCAATAAATTCAAAACTATTATTTATATAAACTATATTTTAAAAACACCAGCAATTAGTATTTCAATATTCTTAAATAAATTAATTATAAAAAAAGATTGCTTCATCCCCCCTTAAATTAACTGTCTTCCTTAATAAATTATTGTCCTTCCCTTCTGGCTACGCCTGTGACTAGAAAAAATATTATGTTTTTAAAAAAAATGTTGTTATTATTATCGTAGTTGTTAATTTTAATACCTTGTGAGGAGTAGAGCGGAATCGTGATGATCTGGGACTGAATCGTCATCGCTGTTCATTTTCTTCTGCCAGTCGCAGAACTTATTGAGCATCAGGGAAGCCGAGTGCCCCGACCAGCCCTTAAGCTCGTGCAGAACTCGGAACTTCACTAAAACCACACTCATCGGATTTCCTATACTTGGGTCCTTGAATATCTTATCGACCTGGAAACATTAAGTATACATTATGTTTGCGTAACCTTTAAGAATATACAAAAACATATCGAACAAAACTTACCGCTGCGATCAGGTTCGTAACGTAGTGGGTGAGATCGTCTCCGTGAAAATCCGCCATTTTGGCATCTGCCACTACCATCAGTTCGATTGTGTATTCCCGATTCAGGGAGCGCTTGGTTCTCTTAGGTTTCGCCAATATTGGCTCTTCGTCGATTACTCTTTGAGATTCATCGAAGTCATCGTGGTGAATATCGTCATCTGGAAAAAACAAATAAAAAGTTTAGATGGTTGTGATAGGTTTCAACAGAAACAGACTTAAAAAGTTGTATTTCCTAATATTATGTTCCAGGGGTATAACAATAGGGAAAAAAAATCCCTCAGACCCTGGCTATGAGATGAAACCTACAAGCAAATGTAACAAGCTTCAAAAACTCCTCCAGCTGTATAGAATACTACAGCTTTATTCCCTTTATGAATTCGAAAAGCAATGTATCGCATAGAAAGCATACTGATAACGCCGATCATAGTTATAATAAATGGGCTGATGCCAAACTAAACATAGAGATGCTCTACAGTCAATTATCTTGGACGCAGTAGGAGCAGTGAGACTTTTTTTTAAGTTTAACAATATATGGTCGAAATTTTACCCTCCGAAATCGCCTTTTGGGAAATATAGAATTACTCTCTATAAATTATCCCAAAATGAGAGTAATAACAAAATACGAGTTGGAAAAGAAATTATTAAGAGGAGTCTGAAGAAACTTATCATCTCCAGGGAGTAAAAAAAGAGAGTAATATGATATACAATCAAAATAATTTCATAAATATAAAGTTACAGTATTATTCTTCTCACGTTTAACACATTTTTGTTTAAGGGTCTATTAATTTTTTTAAATGTTTTTAAAACTGAATTTTTTGGATATAAACATTCAGAAAAAACACAACAAATTAAGAGTGCACAATGATGTAATAAAGCAGTATCCGTACCATACTGATATACGGCTGTGAGAACTGGATATTAACCAGCACTCAAGAAAGAAGAATTGAAAGATTTCAAAGAAAAATCCTGCGTCCGAAAACCGTAGTGTTTAGGCCGTTACCGATTGATAAATATCAATACGTTATTTTTAAATATTATTTATCGATATGACCATCTGCTCAGACCGTTAATTTTATTTTTTATTTCCTTATACAAAATTATAAATACTAAATTATGAATATAAGATATTTTCGTTTTGTTTAATTTACACAAAAACATATATATAGATATATATATATGAATCGAGAGAACTTTATATAGTTTAATTTGAATATAAAAACAATCACCTGTCTTATGGACTAATAAACGGTCGTTGTTAATAAATCTTAACCGCTTATACACGTCCGTTATACTCGTCGCTGCGTAAAACTGGTAATATAAGAACCTGATTATTTTTTATTTATTATGGAATCAAACCTTTTATAACAGAACACCACCATAGCCTAGAAGCTTCACCATAAATTTCCCAGCGTGAATTACCTCTTCATTTTTGTTTTGGTATGAAGACAATAGACATTGCTTAGTTATAATTAATTTCTACTTTACATTACATTTATTAGTTCCCAATTTCAGATCGCTATAAATTTAAATTGTTGTTTTCTCTCAAATAATCCATTTCGAAGTTCCTTCCCCTTTTATTTTCTCTTTATTAATATTATTAATTTTTTCCTGAGGAAATTTTTTTTATTATTTACTTATGTACATATGATTATAATTTTTGTATAGTTTAATTGAATCTCTCGATTCATAATTAAATTAATATATTATTTTATTTTCCGATTACTTTGTCTTCTTTTTTTCTTTCCCATTTTTGCCTTATTTATTTTGTTTTAAGAGTTCAAACGACTGGCACTTATTGAAATGGGGTTGAGAATATGTTCGTATATTTTACAACATCGCACTCCCCTTCATCAGAGCGATCTGTGATGAATGTACAAACACCTGAAGGAGAAGGACCGATAAAGAGCAGCTTATAGAAAATCGTCAATGAATATATCATGATTTAAATGCAAGAAAGTTATGATGTGCGGTGAATCTGACTCAGAGCAATCCACTAGGAAGCCTCTACACGACAATGAATTCCTCAATAGTACGCAAACTAGATGGATAAATCAGCATGCAGATAACTGGATAGCAATGGCCCACGATAGGCAGAGATGGAGAGGACTGGTTAAGCCGGTAAAAGACGTACAAGATTTGGAATGACATCATAATATATATATATATATATATATATATATATATATATATATATATATATATATATATATATATATATATATATATATATGTATGTGAATATATGTATAAAGAAATTTAACAGCAGTGAACAGTCACATAATACAAGATGAAACCAATAACAATGAAGACAGGATCCAGTTCTCCATAATAAGAGAAATATTAGAAGCAATAACATTCTACCGCCCTCAACTAGGATCGTTATGGCTGCCCTCTAGTATTTTAGTTTCTTCTCGTTATGGAAGACGCCATTAAAAAGAGATTTTATTACTCAGCGATGTTCACATTAACCTGATACCGCCTAGTAAAACGTAATAATCGTGTAAGAAACCTTGAAATCTCTAAAGCTTCAATCTTATTTTTTGTTGTTAATATTTTTTTAAATTATGAACCAAAAGAAAGACTTAACAAAGCCAAGGTTTATGTCAAGTTCGGCTACGTTAAATTTGCGTTATTTTAGGACTGACGATTAGATGTATAATTTACAAACCTATTTATTTACTTAATTTATGCACTTTGATAAGGATCCATTTATAATCTTTAGAACGGAAATGTGAATCATACGTTCTTAATATTCAGTAATATAGATCTTAATATTGTTTAATCTCTGCATTTTTTGTGGTCTAGTGAGATAAAGACGACCTTCAAAACCTTGCAAAAAATGCAGTGAACTGTCTTTCCGTATCAGTTTAAATTCTAATAAACGAAAGATCGGAATTAGTATGTTCCATCACGGACTTCAATTTAGACTTGACATGAGCTTCCATATTTCATTTCCAAACTGGTAATGGACGTCAATTATTTGAGAAAAAAAAAGCCATTTTGCGTTCCAAAAAGAATATCAAATGTTCTAATTTATAGGATAGTAGAAAATGTTGAGAGAACCAAGAGACCTATACTATCACTTAGGAAACTTGGGCTTATACTTGATAATAGGCCAAAAGGAGAATATTTCATTAAGATTACTAAGAGATTCTTGCATCTTCCTTACTTGGAAGCCAGATGCCTTTAAGGGAAGCCTTTCTCTGTATTAAAGCAATGAACTACGACAAATCAGCCCTAGTGATTGGTTGCCACAGTATACAAGCTTTACTACTTACCTACGTGGAACTACAGACAGTGGTGGATTTAGGATTCCTCAAGAAGCCATCTGGCTGTGTTGTGTATACGAGCTTAAGAGAAACCTCCATCGTAACGCCGTGGTCTTAAAAACTTGTAATGTGGAAAAGTGTTGATAGTAACAGAAATGGTAAAAAATAATAGGCTGAAATTGTATTATTCAAAGTTGGTATTATGGGTTATAAATTACCAAAAAAATGGTAAAAAATAAGTGTTGAAAAAGAGGAGTCTGGAAAAAATTTGTGATCTGGAATACCATCTGTATACATTCAAATAAGCAAACACCAAGGAAGAATCTCCATAACCTCTGCAGCGGGTTAACAAGATTTCTAGAAATCGATGGTACAATATGCTGATAATATCAACAACCTACACATGTTTCTGTTCTGAACACTGTCCATGCAATAATTCATAACATCAGACATAACGAAATCCTTACAATCTACATTTTTACTAAACCCTCGGGAGCTTACAGTCGATATAGCTATGATAATGTTTTTGATGGTTAATATTTTAACCAGTCTAACAATATTACCCGCTCATACTGATGACCGTGATGTCGCTATAAATATATTTACTATATGAATACGTGCTTTTTTGAATAGTGAAGGTCACGATATTAAGCAAAGAAATAGAAAAGGATAAATCACTCTGTTAATTGGAACATGACTCTCAATCTCCCCACTCTGATTAGAATATTTATAATTATTTACAACTTTAGAATAATTCCCCGTATGCTAGATAAGAAAATATTCAGATATGAGGTAAAAAAAAAATTTTAAAAGCACATGAGAAAAAATGTGGTAATTGATGAGTGGATAAAGTCTTTGATAGAAAAAATATTTTATTATTTAAAAAAAAATTATTTTTATTATGTGAATATTCCAAGAAATAGATATGTATGTACCGAAGAAGAAACATAAATGTCGGACCTTTTGTACCACCTTGCCGTCATTATAAAAACTCTGCAGTGTCAGGTTTGTTTTAAGATGCACTTAAAACACGGGATGCATTAATCATTTAACAAGTATGAGCATCTTTGAAACAAACGCAAAGAAACATGATTATTCATGGAAATATCTCATTTATCATTTCGGACATCTTTAGCCAGGAACTCTAAGTTCAGACATGACTCATACTTTAATGATATCAGCAGTCTCAAGATATTAATATTTACACAAAGCAGTGAACAATACACAAAACCCACGATTAGTTCAATGTCTGACAGCGAATTCATATATTACTGTATTGAATTTTTTTTTCTACTTAGATTTCAATATCATCTTGTATTTCATATAACTAAATAAATAATATCAGATATTACAAAAAAATTATTAATTTGTTAAATTTTAGGAAGTACTGTATGATTTCACCCTCGCGTAACTAACTAGGCGAGCTGTAGTAGTGCTTTAAGGTTTCAAGCGTCACCGTTACTTCACTGTACTTTATAAAACTCTACACCTCCTTATGTTTTAATGGAATCTATAAAATTCTAAAAGCTAGGAATAAAAGCTGGGAAAATTAATCATGAAGTATTTTCTTCTTTAAATATCCCTTATTTTTTCCGATTTTCTCCAAATATCTTTTGAGTATTAGTCTGAAAAAAATATATTCTTTACATTATTTTTTATTGTTTTAAATTTATTTTGATACCAAAACGAAATTTGTAGTTTTATGAGGTGATTTTTGTCTGCACTTTTTCTTCTACACCTGTATGTTTTTTTCTGTTTTTGCTTTTATATTAAGAAATAAAGCTGTTTAGTTTTGAAATTCAATAAGAGAAAATTTAGGAACTGCTCGAGAAATCTTTACAACACGCTAAAACTATTTATAAGCTTTTACTTCGACCTTAAACGTCACTGTTAAATTTTTTCATAGCGTTCATCACTTAGTTGCAAACAACCAATGACTAATTCAGAATTCGAATATATATTTTTAAATAATCTACCCGTGAGACTCACCTTGTGTATGGAGCGCATATGACATTGTTTTTATCAATAAGAAGTATCACTATTATGTAACTTAAAATTATTTAATTTTCATGATGTATTTATAAATTTATTAATATTTAATTAAAAATCAACAGAAGTATTGAATATGTATTAAGTGGAATGTTAGAGGAATCAGCTCCACTACAAAAATTATGTCAGTTAAACTTTGTCGATTGATTCATTAGTTATTCGCTCCCTACAAATTTGACTAATTCCCTAGAATTTAGACTTTTCAAATTTTTTTATAGCAACTTTTGATTAAAAAAATTAAACCCATTAATTTATATATATTGTAAATAGTGTAAATATTTACACGTTCCCTCCCCGTTCAATGAAACTTACAAGGCCTTGTGGGACAAATGTTCTCCTTAGCTATCCCCAATCCTTAAAATACCCTCGGGCAGTGGAAGGATCTTGTTGTTTGTATATATTTGTATTTTTATACTTACATATGTAATTTAATTAAATAAACTTTTTGGGGTTCTAGAAAAAAAAAATTATCCCAACTTTTGATCAAAGGAGCTTCATCTATCCATGTTGCAGATAAGTTCCCAATTTGTCCCAAAATATAGTGAATTTAAAAAAAAAAAAAAAAAAAAAAGGAAATGAACTGATACTTCAATGTGTTAGGAGAAAACCGGAAAAATTGCAGTTTTTCCAAAAATATAAAAATTAGAACTACTCTGATTTCAGGAACAATTCGACTTCACTATTAGTGAAATCCCCGAATTTTATACGTATTTTTTTTATTATTATTTTTTATTGGTATATAATTAAATCTGTACCTCTAGCATTTGACAATGATGAGTCTACATATTAATCATTATTCAAAGACACTGATATTTTATATTGTCAGCTTTGTCTTTTCTTTGTTAGCGAAAACACACCTCATTTTAAAGAAGAACTCAATGTATTTTTTATTATTTTATTTTTCAAAAGAGTATTATTATAATTTTTCCTACTGTACATAGTCTTAAGTGTTTTGTCATAGTTTTAAGTGTTTTGTATATAGATTTTTTTTTTGTATATAGCTAGTTTAACTAATATTTTCTTTACTTTCTCTTTTTTTATTATTGTTTTATTTTGGCCAGATGTAGTATTTTAATTATGTTCTATTTTGTTATTCTAAAGGGACTTTGTCCCAGAATAAAGTTATTTTCTATTTCTATTTCTATTTTTATTAATGATTAAATTTTATGGAAAAATTGACGAAGAAACAGAGTTCTAAAGGGCAAGCTGGAGGTTGTCGAAAACGATTTATAAATAACTCTTTTATCAGATAGGACACGACCTATAATTCTATGGTATAAAAATAGCTGCTAGGCGCTTTGAAGCGTGGAGGAATCCTCGTCCTGAGCAAGTCTAGTAATGAGAGTGAGTGGATGGGCTCCTCAGTGGAAGGGGTTCAACACCGCTCCCACGCTACGGCTGCAATGACACTCTGCAGAACAGTATTCGTATTCCGGCTAGGTCGTTGCAATTCTTAGAAAGTAAACGGCCGCATAAGTAAAAGTATACGTGATGACGTTTTTTAAAAGACTGTACACCTTAATATATTCAATGGTAATTATTACTTTATTGCCTTCATAAAAGTTTTTTTTATACTGTTTAATGTAGAAGCGCACACGTACCGCGCGTGCTTTCCTTCTCAAACATCAACAACCTGACTTCGGAAATACAGGGAGGCTATCAACTCTACGCAGGCATCTTTTTTTACATTTTTTTAATATTTTTTTTATTATTATTTTTTTTTATCGATACTAGTGTTGCCCAAATGCGAAACCGAGACGAGTCTTGGTCTTGCAAACTCAGTCTTGCGCAAGTGTCTCGCAACAGTCTTGCAGTTAATTATTAGCTTATTACTATAGAGATATTACTGTCATTTTTAGATAGGAGAAACCTAACTAAGCCCGAATGAAAAATTAGGAGTTAAATGCGAAAGTATATTGATTATATAAATTATTAACATATAGTAACTAAGATTGTCAAGTATTAGTTTGTCTTAATATTTATTTAAAAAATCGATTTTTTTTACCAGTCCTGGTCTTGATCTTGCAACAGTTAGGAGGCCTTGGTCTTTGTCTTGCAAAGTGCTTTTAGAGCATGTGGTCATATTTTCTTTTAGAAGAGGAGGAGGTGGGGATAACCACTTTCTTCAGAAAAAAAAGAAACTTAATTTTCAGATCAAAAGTTATAAAATGTATGTTCGATAATACCCATGCCAATCAGAAATTGTTTACAAATTCGCTTCAAATACCATTAAGAAAATATGATCGAAATTGGACCGTTTTTGGCAAAAATACAGTCAATGTCAATTCTTAAGCATCTTTAAGTCTATTATTTTTAGGGAACTGTAAAAAAAAAAAATTCCCTCTTATTATACGTTATTTTTTTTATTTCCATATTATATAAATATTTCTTAACTGATTAATATGTCAAGCCAATTATTTCAGCCAACTAATATAATTTGTTACATGTGCCTTAATTCTCAAACATAATCAGCCTGATTTCAGAAAAAAGGAGATTATTAATCCATATAGGATTTTCTTATTATTGAGCCGTAATTTTTAAGATTATCTTCTCCTTGGGGAATATATAAGCACTTCCTCAAGAATAGTCTTTAGAAATGATAAAAAGGATTTTTTTTTTCTTCAAACTCAATACGTATACAATGTATGGTCGATAATACCTATGATAATTAGGAAGGTTTCCAAATTTTAGACAAAGGTTAAAAAAAAAAAGTGAAACTAGAAATCTGACCATTTTTAGCAGAAATGTATCCAATTGCATTTTTTTACACATGTTTTAATAAATTATTTAAAATAAATTGTAGTAATCGACCAAGAAAAAAAAGTTAATTCCTCCACATTATAACACAATATGCTACTTGAATAGTATAATTTAATTCCTATTAACCATTTTTATTAATTTCAAAAGGTTCCATTTATAATTCATAAGGGAAAACTGTGAGTCGCTAATACTCTTTATGTATTAAATAATCTTTCACACTAAATTAAATATAGGAACAGAGTTTTGTATATAAAAAATATCCTACGCCACTATGAAAATATATCGCATAGGTGGGGAGCAGTTTCCTCTCAGTGAGCTAGCGGCGGCCTCCAAATGCTTTTGTGTGATATTCTATCGCTAGAATTCATTAATATTTAATTATTTAGGTTACAAAAATTTGAAAATTAATAGAGCTAAAATAAATATATGTATAATAAAAATAGCAACAGTAAAATAGCTAAAATCATTGCGGCCACCAATGATAAAAAGGTTTCCCAACTATGATATATATTGCTAAGGTCGGGCGTTTAAAACATTTAATTATATTTTATGGACATATTTTACTTATTATGGAAGCTTTCAAAACTTCTTCAAAATAATATTTCATGATAAAGTCAATATATGTAAATATATCTACTTGTTATTAATGACGCCTTCAAGCAAATCGATGGGAACAATTTAAAACCAAAATCAATCAGTAATAAATTTTACTATTAGTGATTGACTACTTCCTGGATAAAATTTTAATCACGTAAGTCAGTAGTTAATACTGTTTTGGTATCTGTATAAAACATTTGGAAATACGTACATTTGTATGGTTATTTAAACGCCAATTCTCTCTCTGTTTAGTATTAGCATGTAGAGATTTTTTTTGTTATCATTATTATTAACAGAAGTTCTGCCATTACATTTTTGTTTATTTAATTTTTTTTTTTGCTTTTACTTGTCTATCACATTTTAGTTGTGATGTCTAACGTTAAAATCTAAATTGTATCACTAAAGACACAATCTAAATCTCTGAAGATGAAGCATGCATCTTCAATGTACAAAATTGTTATGAATAATTAATTTTTTGTTTTACTTTAATTTGTGCGGATTCCGGCTACTGACTTCCAAACCATCTTTGTATTTGTTATTATTTTCTGCGTTTAAAAAAATAAAATAAAACCATACGCAGTCACCAGAAATCAGTACAGAACTACAAAATAGTAAAATATGTGCTTTATATTTTTGATATTATCAATCTTTTTTTACTAGAAAAATGAAAAAAAAATTAAAGTAAAAATCAACAAATTAAAGTAATTATTTCAGATTTGTATAGTGGTATTGGATTCAAAGAGAGCAAATCTAAAAATTGGCGCGAAGTAAACATTAAATCACTGAGGACGGCTTAATAACCACATGATTTGGTATTCCAATGGACTACAATAGTTTAATGGCTAATATGGCACATAATTAATTTAAAATATAAATATCTGAGTAGATTTCTACAATGATAATTACAATTGATACTTGGACTTCATTTATTTTTCAAGTATCTCACAGAGAATTTCATCAATAAAGAATATTCTTTATAAAGATTATTTCAAATTAATAATAGCTGGTCACACGTTTAAATTCTGAATAATATAGGTTATTTTAGAGACATTTGAGTTTGAATCGACCTTTTTTTATAATTGCATGAAAAGCAAACTTTAATTTAATTAATTTTTATAAGACTGTTATATAAGTCTTTCAGTTGACAGAACGACTTATTCCAATTTCAATATTTTTTATTATTAATTTTATTGATATTTTTAAATAATTTTGTTTACATTCCCTTATTTCAACGCTGCAATCTTCTACTCTGGAATCAACTTACTCACTCTGTACAGATATTATAAATTTTCCTACTAGAAATATCACTAAAATGATTTTACTCAAAAATGTTGAAATTGAAGTTAGTCATTCTCTCAACTGAAAGGCTCATATAACAATAATTTTAGTCATGACAATAATTGTCGAAATATTTATTGAGGTTAACATTAATTATTTTAAGGTGTTTGACTAAATTAATTTTCTTTCGGCTTCTTTTAAAGTAGCTATTGAAGTTACAATGGCTATTTTCGTTTTTCATTAGGAAGAAAATAACGCACAGGTTGAAACTGGAAAATTGCCGAGCCTTGGGATCTGCAGGGACAGACGATAAAGTCGAAGGACAAAAAATAATTTACTCTTCGAAGGCTATCTCGCTGGGAGGGAAAATGCCTGAGTAGGCCTTTAACAACCAATAAAACTCCAATGGCTACATTGATAACACTCAGAAACTCAGAAAGCCCAAAAGTAGAAAATGTCTATATCCTCTGTTCAGCGACAAGGAGTAAAAAGTTCTTATATGCAATGTAATCAACATTAAAACAAGTTTTAAAATTCATCTAATGGCATATTTTTTTTTAAAAATATTTTCTCCATTAAATGTATTTTAAAAATCAATTAATGTACATTTACAACTAATTAATGCAATATTAATTTATTAATTAAGTAACAGGACTTTAATAATAATTGCAATTACATTCTTTTTTTTTTTGTCTTCAATTCTTCATCCGCACCTGTCATGACGAAGAATGGAGCCCAGCAGCACCTCTTCCCTGGTCTGTTTACATCCTAAAATCAGGAAAGGAGATTTCTCGTCCAGCTCCTGATGAGCATTTCAGCCGTGGCCATTTCGTTGATAAGTCCATTGTGATGCCCGTGTAGTTTAAGATGAAATCGGGAGTAAAAAGTACATGGTTGGTTGTCTTAGGTTGGTATGTAAAGTCTTGTTGTTAACATACGAGGGAGGTGCAGTTATTAGTCTTAAAATTTTAGATTGAAAAGATTGTAGTTTTTGTAAGTGAGGCTTATTTTCTGAACCGTAAATCTGTGAGGCGTATGTCCAAATGGGTTTGAGCAGGTAAGTGTATGTATTTAGTTTTTGTCTAATTTTCAATTTTGACTTAGAAAACAGTGAGAATAGTATTTTCAGTCGCTTGTTCCAAGTTTTTATTTTCATTTTGACGTGTGCGCCCCAGTTCATCCTTCTGTCAAATATTAGTCCGAGGTAGCGTCCGTCTGAGGAATTGTTATGTGTTGTGATTTGTTATGATCTAATCTGATTTTCCAAAGTGAATATCAATTTTGTAAACTTAGTAAGTGATTTTGTAAATTTAATGAGGCTAGTCTGGAGTCATATTGTTTTGGTAATATTGTTGTTTCGTCAGCGTAAGTAGCAGTCAATGTTTCAGAGATGGTGGGCATGTCATGCGTATTGACAATTACTTAAAACAGAAATTAATGCTCGTGTGTACAATGAATAAGAGCCACAAACACTTTGCTTCTCATTGGGGTGTTCTGAACACATTTATATACCAACAAACGTATGTCTGATTAAGGCGCAGTTCAACGATCCGGATGGGGTCTTAATTTATACTTCAATATCATTTTTCCTGATTATCGTTGGAATCTACGTACCTGAATTGATTCATTTCTACAGACTTTCATATCCAGACAATTTTCGTATCCTTCCATATATTTCAACTTATTCGTAGATATTTCGTGTCACAGTCCTTCTCTCCTGCTTGTCAGATGATTAAAAAAAAAAATATATATATAGGGGTCGAGAAAAAAACAATAAAAAATAGCGTGTTATGTCTGAAAATATTCAATTTGATGATTCCGC